CAGATCACTTCCTTTCAGGTGAGACTGAGCACAGTGAAAGACTTTAGACAAACCAGACTGGACCCAAATCCTGTGAGCTGTGCCAGAGGAGAAAAGATTTGAAGCATCACAGATCCTCACATAAATTACAGAGGTCCAAAAGTTTGCATGTGTTTGCACATGTCTGTCTGGGATGTCACCTGCTCTGAGATGACTGCCTGGGGTGTCCACAGGGACCTTGGCAGCACCTTCCCTACTCTGTGCCGGTACTGTGTTTGTACCTATCCTGTCTCTACGCCATTTCCCACTTATTTTCATGCCTTCCCTTCTAAATTGTATTCTTTTTGTTTTCTTCAGTCATTCTTACTGAAGGTTTTTTTTCTTCTCCCTGTCACTGTCAAATCTTTTTAACTTGTTTTTCCAAATTGTCCCAGCTTTTCTCTGCTGAATTACACAGCTCACTCTTGTCTACAAAAAACATAGGAGGAGTTTTGCTTTTCTTGTTTCTCAAGTGCGGTGTTAAATTAACCATGGCAATTGCGCAATTGCAAAAAAAAAAAAAACAAACCCTTTCTTTAATTCAGGCCAGAAATGGCACATTCAAAGCATTTTACTGTCAGTCTGTACCAAAAGTCTCAACTGTTCATGTGGGAACTGGAATTTTGGAAGCTTTTACTTTAAACAAATTTGTGAGGATTTTCACACCATGACATTGCAGTGATATTTTCCTTCTGCCACATTTCAATTTCTTACTCCCTAGCTTGAAGGTATCAAAAAACGAATTTTTTTTTTTTTTTTTGAATTGTAGATCATTACTCACTTGCATCTTAAAATTGGCTCATTTTTTTAAGATGATGCTTTCCAAAATCTTTCAGCTTGCAGCAAACACCCCGCAGCACAGGAAATTCCTCAGAATGGTCAACGCTGGCAAAGTTATAAACAACTAAAAATAGGTCTTATTGTGGAAGGTTTTGAATGTGCTGACTGTAAGAGGTACTGTCAGCTCCACATGTAAGAGACAGAACAGAGATCCTGGCTTTCTTTAGAGGTATTTTGGCAAAGACCTGCTCATCTCCTGAGGCAGTTCACACACACTGTTTCTGGGCATATTTCCAAACAGAAAGTGGAGTAAATGCTACTCCACAAGCCAGGACAGGATTGAAAAACTGGCTCTGTAGCCCCTTTCTCGCAGAGCAACAAGCAAAAATGTTAGGGTGAGACTGTGGTTTGTATCCTTCTTACAGATCCCAGAGATTACTGTCTCCAGCTGGTCATCACCACCTCCTTTGGCGTTCATAGTCTTTGTTGATTTGCCAGTTGCAGTAAAAGTGCTTGGTTAGATCAGAGGACTCACTCTTATATTAAATATGCAGGCAAAAGAAATCCATCAAAAATCTGGAGAAAGTTTGTTTTTTTTTTCTGGAAGGACAATGGCATAGTTATTATACTGTGGTGCAGAGGCCAGTTTACTACCAGTTTACTTTAAAGAATTTATTCTCATGGAAATTGATGTTACTCAGTTCATCTTCAAGTGCCAATAGATCAAGCACTGGGGTGTTCTTAACCTCAGCTCTGCTGCACGAGATCAATATGAGCCAATGGTTTTCTGATTAGCTCTATATTGATTGACCTTAATCTAAGAGTCATGTTCCTCCCTAGTAACAGTAATCCCTCAGGAATTCCATGGCTTCCTTGATGATAGATGATATAATAATCTTCATTACATTCTTTTCATTGTTCAATCTGAGCTGTTTCTCCATGCAAGTCATGCCTTATCCTTATTGCTTTACTTTGGATTTAGAAGCGTCATTATTAAGATTAGTTAATTAATTTGTAAAACTTTTTATGTAGATACCTGTAGTTATTACTTCTGTGGCATGAAAAAATGTCAGTTTTTTAATATTCATTATCTCAGTAAATGTAGTTTCTAGAAGGAGAATGTGGTGTGCCCTTGTGGACAGGGGATGACAGGATAAGAGTATACTTTTGCCTTCTAGAGGTAGGTCTTGAAAAAAAGAAATAAATCTTTCAAGCCAAAATCAAACCTGGCTAGGTCTGTACAGGTGTCAATGACTCAAGGAGACCTTTTCTTTTGTCATGTAATTTTATCAGCTGTCCTCTCTTTATGCATAAAAGATTTTCTACAGTCCCTGTTAGCTCTGTAAACTTCACCTAAATCTGAAGGATACTTTCTTTCCAACTTCTCTGCTGTTTGCAGGAGCACCACAGGCTAAATGAGGCCATCATTAAAATTTTTTTGCCTCCATTTATTTCTTTCTTAAGAGACAACTCTGAATAAACTTGTCCAAACCTATTAGCTTTCAGCAGGATTTGCAGAGGTGTAACCGAGGACAGCCTGGCCTGCAGCAGTTTATGCTCTGCAGGTGACAGCACATGACAACACACATAACAACACATGACCTGAACATCTCTGTCTTTTACCGTGCCTTTTAAGACTCACAAAATGAAACACTTGTTACTGCTTCAGTACAATAGCATTGTTTTAACACAAGTGGAATAAATGTTAATTCACTATAACGAAAAAGATTCTCTTCCCCTTCTAGATCAATTTCCTGAGAGGAGAAAATTGCTATGTATCTACTTCAGTGTTTTGGCTAGTGCAGTTTTAAATTCTCCAAGCAACAGGAGATCTGTTGTTGCTTTTTAAAGATTATTTCATTTTATTAGCTTCTATTAAATTTGCAGCTTCCCTATTTTTCAACTTTACATTAGCAAAACCCGTCTTGTCACAGGGAGTAATGAACTAAAGAAACTTAATTCTCTGTTCTCAGTTCCAATTACTGTTAAAGCACAGTAGTTTGGTGTTCCTGGGTGCTCCAGAACAAAAAGTCTTTAAGAGGTATGGAACACCTACAAAATATGTTTGGCTTTATTCTCTGTAACCCCATTTAGCTTATTCACGTATAGCACATCTGGCTAGAAACTGGCTTTTGATCCAAGACTGCCAAGGCAGCTTTTGGGACTGCCTAATCAGACAGCTTGGGACATTTTGGAGTTACCCCAAGTGATGCAATTATGCTGTAGGAAAGTGAATTCATACCTGGGAAATAAAAACTGTTTCAAATACAATAACTATTTGAGGGCTGCACATTTTGATGGGAGAGGAAGATGGTGATAATTTGTGCTAGCAGAATTAGCTGTGCTGGAGAGAGGCTAACATCTTTGTGACTGTGGCAGCTGTGTAGCTGATTCCTTTTAGTTGCATTTTTTTTTGTTGTCACTGAGTAGGTTTAAATTGTGCCTGCTTTATCGAGAAGGTCTTCTAGGTGGCTGCCTAGAAGGAGTCCATTTAGGCATGTCCTAGCTCTACTTCTTGTTTGTTGTTTAAGAACTATATATTAGATAAATCATAAAATGGAACTCTAAGACCAAGAATGATTTTTGGTTTTGCTATTGTGAGAGGTGATTCATAGGTGCACAGTTAATGTTTTGGGGTGAAATCCCTGGAGCTATGACCAATTGGCAGAAAGCACTGGAAGCATGTTGGTCTGGGCCTCCCCAGCTCCCAGCTGGGGTCTGCCTGGGCCCCACTCCCATTTGAAGTTCAGCCCAAGAGTAGGGAAGTCTTCTGGACACTGGCTTCTTCTGGGTTTTACCTGGCTGAACAGTCCTGATAGCAACTCAGAGATGCTGCCTAAACCCTGGCAAAGACAGCTACTGGGGGCACCCAAGGAACCGACTGGTTTTGTCTGGGCTGTGTGGGGCTTTTGGCATTTGCCAGTCTTGGTGTGGGGAAGAGCTGTGGGTGTGTTCTGCTGCTGTGGCTTTCTTGGTCTGTCTGCAGGGAGGGTGAGATAGAGCTTAACCCTAGAGCTGAGGTGAATCTTATTACTGAGGTCTACATTAATCTCTCTGACAAGTGTGCTGTACACCTCAGTGCATTTCTACTGGATCCAAATGAATTTTTTTTCCTACGGACAGTAATCTGCTTTAAATATAGCAAGGACACACACAACACATGAAAACACAAGCAGGAACTTATGCCAGCGTGTTTCAGCTATATATTAGTGGGATAGTTCTTACCAAAAAGCTAGCTCAGCAAATAGGAAGAAATGATCTTTTGTCAAGCCTGTACTGGATCTGTCTGCTATTATTGTATGTGTAAGGTTGTGTAAATAATAAATCAGGAGAAAGTAAATTGTATGAAGGCAGAAAGCTAGTCAATCATTTCTAATCATCTCATTATGCTTGACAATATCTTTAGAAACTGCTTCTGTTATGATGGGAATGAAGAGAAACTTAGCACAGTTAGTGCTAAAGTCTGTTCTTTTAGAGGTCTAGTAAGATGATACTTATTAGGTTTGAAACATAAATGACTAACTTAAAATTTTAAAGGTTTTTCTTTCTTTAAGGGAATGAGTAAATCTGACAAACATGGTAGTTGATTTGAGAGTGACTTGGGAACAAAGCATGTGGTAGCATTTGTTAGGCTTCACAGAAGCAGAAAATCAATTTGCCTCCTGCAAGGGTGGTTGTTATCTCTGGTGCGCACACTTACTGCCCATGTCAGCCCATCATTTCTGGGGCCTCTTGGTTAAAGATACTATCATCTTTAATGAAATTTAGCTCATTTCTTCAAGTGATCTTAAAGTCAATTACTATTTAAAATACACAATAGATGCAGTTCTGTTTTGTGTTAAAGAAGATTGATCTCATTCCACCAGTTTAAAAGGTCTACCAACGAGCATATTTTATGGGCTGTGTATAAAAACATGGGTCAGTAAATCCAAAAGGCAATGTTCCTTTGCTTTTCCTGTATAATTCTCCTTCCTGAGATCTGATCTCAGCTGGTTACTGACCTAGATGTGCTGCCTATATGTTGTTTGTTCAACTGGATGGACACATTGGGTGTGGAACTATTTATAAGTTAAATTATGAAATATAAGGAAAAATTGGTCTGTGTAAAGATATTTCTTCCTTGGTATTGCCAGGATTGTGTTTTAACTGAAATATTTTTTATTATTAACTTGAAAAAAGTGATAACTATGTTTTGTCTTGCCTATTGATCTTACAGAATATTTCACAATTTCCTATTAATCTATCTTCTCTTCAAAACTATGCTTGATGAAGCTTACAGGAACCCCATGAGATGTGTTATTGGAGAATGAAGTACTCCTTTTTTTTTCAGGCTTCAATTTGTTTTGTATCAGGTACCAAGCTTCTGGTTTATTTCAGGTAACACAGGAAGAAGGAAATAAGGAAATGGCCCTCCTGCATATCAAACTAACTTAAAGTATGACAGAGTAAATCTGTATTTAAATACTTTGATGATTGACCCTCTTTATAACCTGTGACAGCTTAATCTCACAAGCTATTTGTGCAATGACTTTACTAGTTTCTAGTTTGGCAAAATACCCTGAAGACACATCACTTAAAATTTGCAGTAATAGCTGAGTCAGCAGCTGTCTAGCTTGAAAAGAAGAGTGAACAGTTCAGCGTATTTTCATCAACGTAAAGGAACTTTGAAGAAACATCTTGATCTTCTCAGAATTATTTATTTGTCCAAATCAATTAGCCCTTTTTGCCTTACTCTTTCCTCTGTCACACCTCTTACCACAGATGTGTGGTGGAGTCAGGCACTGTGTGCCAGCTCCATGTCTGTGCCGCACTGGTATAGCTCTGTACCAGCAAGGAATGCTCCTTGATATCATTCCAGTAAAAAAAAAAGTACTGGCAGTAAGATTCTGGAGATGGCTGATGAGTTTTTCAGTACTAATTTTGACTTCTCTAGCTAGAATTTGATAACTCACTGGCTGAGTGGGAAGAATGAATATTGCAGTAAATTCTTGGTTAAGCATATGTTTGTATGAAAGCTTTTGGTTCATGCATCCATTTGATTGCCAGACACCTCTAGGAACAATTATTTTTAAAGCAAGGTGGCTGTTTATAGAGCTTGGTCTGTCTGCAGCTTTTGGGCCTGTCCCTAAAGGGTACCACTTGTTTTCTCTATATCTTCACTTGCACTGTGCTGTGGTCAACACTTACTGAGCATTCTGGCTGTTAAAGCAGTGCTTTTCACACCCTTCTCTTCTTTTCATCTGTGTTTCTGGGTTGTTTTTTGTTGTTGTGTGTTCCTCATGGGAATCCTGCTGTACCCCCTTGCCTGCTGGGCCTGGCCCTGGGCTGTGGTGGTGCCATGTTTCCCTTGCCCCAGAAGAGTCCAATTCTGGGCACACAGGGACATTGCACTGAGAGCATCACATAGAGCACAGGGAACCAAACCAGGCAGTCCAAGGGGTGGCATGGCTGGGAGAAGGTGAGAGGCGAGAGGAGAAGGAACATGAGTCCTGCTGGTGCTTGGCAGCACTGATCTCACCCTGGTCTCGTGTGGAGAGCCGTGTGTCGCAGGGAGGAGCTGTGCTCTGGCCTCCCCCATGGGGCTGTGTGATGCTGCTGTGTGGGAACTGGCTGTGTATCCATGGTGCCTGTGACACTCGTGAGGGTGAGCAGATCTGGCAGCACGGCTCCGGGGTACGAGCGCTGGGAGCTTTGATGGAGGGCCCATCTCCTGCACGGGGCCCTCCTTGTCACCGCTGTGACAGCCAGGGCTGAGGAGGGCAATGTGCTGAACTCTGATTGTGCTGGTGTAGGATGATCCTGGCTCTCCTCTGGAGCTGTTCTTTGCATTGTGATTTGGGTTTGTTTCTGTGTGCAGAACAGACACACTGCAGGTGACAGCAGCACTGAAAGCCAAACCTTCCTGTGCTAGCCTGAGGCCCAGCCATGGGAGGCCTGGGGCGAGGCACAAACCACACAGGTACCTCACTACTGGGGTGGCTGCTCTTTTCAACTAAAACCTTCCAAGTTTTATGTTTTTTGTCTACAAACCTACTAAAAAAAATTGTAAAAAGGTCATCCCAAAAGCACACAGTGAAAGTGATCCACATGTATATGGCAAAGTGGTGCTTCAGTTTAAGCTCGTGAAAGCTTCATCATCATCAGTGCATTCAGTGCACAGCTTGGCTGCCTAAGTAGCTGTCAGAAAACAAAAGTACTCCGGAGAGTAATACATTCTTCAGGCATCATTTCAGATTATGTAGATATTTTAAGCTTAACCCTTCAATGCTTTAATAAGATTCAGTTTTTTACATACTATCACAACATGAATGAACCTTTCGGAGTGATGCCAAAGGCAAGATGAGTTTTATTATTAGTTTCAAGTGACAGCAGTAGTTTGTTCTGATATTGCATCAATATATTAGTACAACTAGCTGTTTTATTTCCTGGTCATGTACACCTGTAATGTTTCTAGTCTGAGTTTTATTTGCAACCTTGTCTGTCTGTTTTGTTTTTTTTTTTAATATCGGAATGTATAGTAAGTTGAATGAGGTTATATGAAATTACTGTTTGTACCAAGTAAAACTTCAAGACATTTTATTTGTTTAGATGTAACTGCATGACCTAAAATGTTAGGACTACTATCAAGTATACCTAGGTAAAATAAGAGATAATTATTTTCTACCTGAATGATACTGTTGGGATCGCTAAAGAGACAATGAATTTTATTGCTTTGTATTAACTCCATCTGCCTTATTGTCCTTCTGTTTTGATTGTGGTTGCTGGTTTACAAACAAGATGCCTTTTGTACTTTGTATCCTGTGAGTGCCTTGTTAGAAATCTATCTAGACTCAAGTGTACTTTTTCCTAAGGCAGTTGTGGACAGAATTTTTCCAAGGAATATTGATGAAGCAATGAAACTCTGTCTTTTTACTGAAAATGATCATAGAGGTCTGAGCAGCCAAAACACACATGGTAGTCTTTTGTGGAAATCTAGAAATCCATGCTGCCATAATCAAAGCTCTCTTTGTCATTACAGGTTGATATTCTTGTCTGTACGTTTAAGAGGGATCTTACTGCCTGACCTTATATAATATGTGTGAATATTTCACAGCTCCAATATCATGCCCACTAGCTGAAATGATTGCTGAGCTTTAATCTTCAGTTTTTGATATGAGACATGGTGAGTGTTGGAAGCCTGCCACATACCTTGATAAGCTGTTATAAAGGTTAATTACACATTATTTTACTTGAAAATCTGTTTAATTTTCTGATCTGAAATTTTCAGCTGCTGTCACAATGGGGCATATTTCTGTTCAAAATGTGTTCCAGTGGGAACATTTATGGGGCCAGAGTTCAATATATTAATGCCTTTCTTCTAAGGTGAAGTCAGGCAAAGAATATGTGAAAGACCAGCAATAGGTAAGATAGATTTGACAGGGAAGGTCTCAAGAAGCTGAGAGACCCAGACTAGAGGTAAGGAGGGAGAGTAAGATGCTAAATTTAGGATGAACTCTTTTTAGGATACATCTTCATTTTAATTTGATTTGAATTTCAACTGTGCATACCTGCAGATGCCTCACTGGGTGGCTATTGAGGTTCATGGTTTTTTTTGAACTAAGTACAAGCTGCAAGGTGTCCTGGCAATTCAAAGGTGCCACTTGTGCCATTGCATTTCTTGATGTGGAAGTTTTCTGAATCTTAAAGCGGTGTACTAAAATTTTCCCATGTTCCAATGAAAAACCCATTTATTCTGCATATCATAATATAGTCTGTGTTGGAAGGGAACTCAAAGGTCATCTAGTTCAACCTGGGTGTGTGTTTTGTGGAAGCTATTGTGGAGGTGGGTGCAATTCACCTACAAGGTCATACAGAGTGTATGCTACTTTTGAAACATCTGTTAAGAAGCCAGTGCTGGTTTCCTTTATTTCCAGGAGTAACAGAGGGTGATTGTTGTAAAGAGCACAGTAGTGCAGTGTACTTCAACCTGTGATCTCTAATCTGACTGGACTTCAAGTGAGCACGGAGGCGTCAAAACATTATCTGTGAAACATTTGCCAAAAACTGAAGTGCTGACAGGATTAGCTGGAATCTGGCTCCTGGTGATTGTTAGCACTTGCTGGCAACAACAGCTACAAATTGCTAGAAATTGCCAGCAAGAAATTTTAATGCTGAAGTTACAATGCTGTGAACCAAACATTTTCTGTTTAACCTGGTGATCTGTATGGTGGGGTTCATGTTTCTATCAAAGAATGACAACAACAACTAAGGCAAGTCAAAGTAATGAGACTTGACCCTGCCTCTTCATCTCTCCCCTTCCCCTGTCCTATTTTGAGGTTTCAGCATAAGTGTCTGGAATAGAAAATTATTTACTTGCTGATGCTAATTGTGAATATCTTCAGTTTCCTGTTTAATTTGGAGTTATGTTGGTACGGGAATGGGCAATGGCAAGTTAAAATATGCTCAGGTATTTTAAATGAGAGTTCATACTGTAACACTGCCACCTTTTCAAAGTAATAGAAAACTAGCAATGAGTGAGGGGAAGAAGAAAAGGAATATGCATCATAAAAATTGTTTTAGACATTTGCATATAATTTCTGACATTACATTTCATCTTGAGAAATAAATTCAGTGTCTCTCTGGTCAAGACCTGTTTTACAGACAGTTCTGCCTTCAGTGATTTCTAGTTGCTGTAAGGAAAAAGTAATTCATTATTTGTTCAGCACAAATGTAGCATACAGGACACATTTTTATGTGTGCACAGCTCCTTGGTACTTTAACTGCATCATGCCTGACATTCAAGAATGTTGTGAAAATACAGAACAGGTTGCTATTTTATGAAGTATATTTGTATACAAATCACACAGTTCTTTCTATGTGGCCTGCTGGTTACTCATCCCCTGTCATGATCCTCCTTCTGAACTGTTTCTTCTGTTTTCCCCATCTCACAAATTCTTATTGTACTAGCAAAGCCTCTGGCAATATTTCTTCTGTTGTCTTGCTTTGACAACGTCACAACTTCCCTGGAGCGTGGTGTCGCAATGCTGACTTGTGACCTGCTCAGTGTATCAAGGTCACCCAGCTGCCCTGCCCATGCCTTGTCCTCCTCAGGGAGAGGCAGCACTGCCAGGGACTGGATATCTGCCACTCTCTGATGGTGATTCCTGACCCAAACAGATGTGCTTTCAGCTCAGTACGTTCTGTACGTCCCCCACACTAATACATCTTGCAGGCATTGTTTAAGGCTGGCTCTCAAAATCCTGTAATACTCTAAGGAGGAAAGCAGATGCTATTAGAGTGCTGAATGGTTCAGTAATTGGAATTGTCCTTCTCCCCAGAAGTTCTTCACAGGTCATGAGAACCATCAATAATACAAATTTTCTTCATTTAAGCACTGTTTTATCAGTGATTTTAGGACCACATGGACTGCTTTTGTACAGGATAAAGAGTTCTAATTTTTTTAAGAAGGGAGACTGAAATTCTGTTACATTATGCCACCTCTTTTTTTTCTTTGAGGGGGTATTAAATAGACAAAGATGTATATAACATTGAGTGCATTTACATGTGTAAAATATTTCTGTACTGTGCTTTTTCATTTTCATCCAGGAACTAGTGCTGTAGCTTTATCCAAGCATTGAAACAGTGCCTAATGTTAAAAATGCACGTGGCCAGTTTCCACGGGAGATTCCAGGAGATCAGCAAGAACTATCTCTAGCTGAAATGGTTTCCTGGATTTGGTCCAGGGGGGCAGACAGGGGTGGGTGTTTAACTCCTAAGAAATAAAAATGCCTTGGCTGCCCTGATGTAATTCCATCCCCCCACCTTTGTCAAGCCTTGCCATCCCCAAGGGCGGCATGTGGCATTGGAACGGTAGCAGCGTGCTCCTTGCAGTCCTTAGCTCTCATGGACAGAAGGAGACTTAAAAAATTGCTAAGGGGTTTTCACTGCAGATCTTCCACAGGAAGCCAGTTATTCAGAACTGCAGATACTGTTAGGAAGTTGACAAAATCATTTGGCGGCACTGATGATTAATTTATAAAGGGCTTAAAGGCATTAAACCAGTGACCTGGTAAAAATCATTGGTGTCAGATAAAGGGATGCCTGCATTAACAGAGCTGTGGCCTTTTAACAGCTTTTAGAGGAAAAGTATGTGTTAAAAGCATGCTAAAAATGCCACTGTTCAGAGAACAGAGCAGCCAAAGTAATTTACAAAGAGAAATAGCGTTATTTTTGCATAGAGATTTTGATTCTTGCAAATACTAATCTAGGCCTACAGCAGCAATGAGAGATGAAAGCTAGAGAAAAATAAATTCCCAACCTCTGTTTTTATAGAAAGACTGCTCATTTTTCTTTATTATAAAATGCTTGGTAATAGGAGACTCATCTCTTGCAGTTTTGGATGCTTGCATCCACCTGGAGTCTCACTTAAGCTATTCCCAGCAGAAGCGGTCTATCTGAGAATTGTGCCTTTAAGTAAAGGGGCCTTATTCTTCAATTTATGCATATTCCCTAAAACTGTTTGCTGTTTTGATGTTGGTGGTTTACATAATGACATTTATGTAAAGAATTTATATCAATTCTTCACCACTTAGTCTAGAAAATAATGTAAAAACTTAAATCCTTTTAAGTAGGCTTTTGTATGTTAAATTCTACAACTCCAAAGACTTTCTTTTTTTTTTAAAGTGTAACCTAGTGTGTTTTTCTAAACAGTTAAAGAAACTCATATTTTTTGGAACATCTATCTCAATACATCAGCATGACTTCTCAAATACTTTGGCAAGCAGAAGCAGTATTCCAAACTGTCTTTTTTGGGAAGGAAGGTAGTCAGCTTGCATTTATTTACAGATTGACTGTGTCATGGATGGTGTTGGATGGGGTCTGTCAGGGTTATTTGCTCACAGGCAGCACTATATCATTGTGACAGTACTGCCTCTGTTGTTGAAGTTAATATTGAATGTTGAAGTTAATATTATCAAGCTTTGCAGACTTGTGCATGGTAGAAAGAACCATCTCCAGTTCCTCAGCACTGCCTATTCAGTATATATTTCAGAGGAATTCTGCTCCTCTCCAATGGCCATATTTTGTAACTTTCTGTCTTTTAAGATTGTGACTGTCATAACAGTACTCCTTCCTTTGCATTTAAAATAGCCTGGGATAATGTAAGTTTTAAGGAGTAATTACTACTATATTAGATATCTTGTCTGCTCTAAGGAAAGATCACACCAATTAGATTTTAATGATTATATGTAAAATTAAAGCCACTAGTCTCCATATAGAAAATGCCTACTGAGATAATCAGTTATGGCAAGCAGGGAAGAAACAGCAGTTCATATCTGTGGTGGTTAAACGACCACATTCTTTGCCTGAACCTGTGTACAATTTATACTATTCAACAATGCTGTAATAGAATATCAAGTCTTGGGCAACCCCTGCAATAAAAAGGCAATTATTGCAGTGCTGCAGTTAATGAATGGCCTTGCTGACAGAAACAATCATTACAATTAAACATAGCAAGGTTGTTCTCCTGTTTGTTTTTGTAAACTCTTTCTTCTTCAAAAGAAAAGCTCCTTTGGTTTTAGGAAGGAAATAATAATCAGATTGTTACTGAATTGTAAATGAAATAGTGCATCCCCTTTACTTTCAAACATCACCTGTGGTTTGTGTTTATTAGCAGACAATATGTGTTTGCTGCTGTTCTCAAAAGGATATTTTAGCCAGTACTTAGCCAGCAAATCTAGAGTTCATTTTCCAGCACAATCTGTCTTGGGGGCACAGACACTGAAGATACATATCCAGGAGTTATTTTTCAGCTGTGGTATAGCCTTAATCAGTTCTCCTCTCTGCCTTCTCAGTTCCCATTTTTTGAGCAGTCAGCTTGGTGACAAGGGTGAAGGACTTGTTTGAGCTAAAAACAGCCACTTCTTTGCTAGGAGAAAGCTTGTGTTAGTCCAGAAGTTCTACAGTGAAAGGATACTTTTGCTTAAATAGGCATGGATCACAGTAGATAATTTATCTTCCTGCAGATGGGAAATGGAGTTATTATGTCCAGTGACATTGCCTAGATTGAAACACAAGATAGATTTAGCTCCTTTTTTATTTGTTCTCCTAAATGAACCACCCAATCCCCCAAACACAGTGGAAGTGAGAAACAGTACTCTAAGGAAATATTAATAGTGAGGACTA